TCAGGCCTGTGTTCTTCCCTATGGAAAGACTTGAGGTATGATTGAGGCTACCACAAAGCAGGGCCACAAAGTAGAGAGTTCAAACTCTGAGTAACAAAGCTAAAGGTAGAAAATTAAGTAGCAAAGAAAATGATGCATTGAAAGCTTAAATAACAAACATCTAACTTCCTACAAAGATTTGTCCAAGTCCTGGGCCCTCTCCAGAAATCACTATCTTATGAAAGTATACCTCACCCTATTTCTGGACTTCAAAATACCTTAAGACTTAAGAGTTTTGTATTTGTGTCTGAAGTTGATCTTGCCTTGTTCAAGAGCAGTGTTACTATGTCATATTTGGTACCCTGATTCTGCTAATACACCCTTTCTAGACCAAGTTATTGTCTTTTGATTTCAGAGACAAGGCACCCACAGGAGTCATGAAAACCAGAGGAAGTTCAGTCTTTCTATTCTAGACACCTGTACCTCATGTTGGAAGCTTTTAAAATAAAAGAGAAGGCCCTAACAGGGACACCAGCAGATGACAAGCTGAGTTGGTTAAGGACTGAGGCATTATGTACATCATCCTTATGTCCTGTGAATGAACACTGTTCCAATTCACTGTTTAGATTCCTTGCTTGAATTTGACTAAAGGACACTGGCCATGAACTCAGAATGAAAGTACACACATAGGTACACACATGGCTCCTTACTGTCATCATAAACAAACTTTGATTTTGGCATCTTCTGCTCTGGAAAGAAATATATCAGAAATAATTCTGACATTAAATAATGCAATAATTTTTGTGTAAAAGAGAATTGACTTGTGCTGGAGAAACAGCTCAGCATATACTCTATAGATGAAAGCTACTTTGAAATTCCATCTCACTGTGGTCACAAACAGGGGGATGTGTTGGAGGTATGGAATATTGAACAGTTGGAGTGTAGACAGGGTGCAGAATAAAATCTAGAGTGTAAATAAATAAATAAATAAATAAATAAGGGGACGATATGAAATGAAATTCTGGCAAGAACGTTGAAAATGGTTAATACTTGTACCTTGGTAATAGGAATACAAACTGGTGTAAACATTACGAAAGTCAATGTGAAGTTTCCCCATAAATCTATAAATAAACCTATCATATGACCCAGCTATACCACTCCTTGGCTTATAGACTGGAAGTGCTCTGTAACCTGCTACATTGCTGACTCATTGCTGCTCTATTCACAATAGCTAGGAAATGGAAATATCCCAGATGTGCATCAGAAAATGATATTCTAAATATTAAGAATGTGGTATATATTTACAATAAAAATTTATTTGGTGCAAAGAAGAATACATTTTTGAAAATTTCAGATAAATGAGTATATCGGGAAAAAAATCATATGTAGTGAGATTCAAACCCCAAAACACAATCTCATGTGCTCTTTCTTTTGTAGACCTTAGCTTTAAATCTTTAGATATATGTGATTAACTTGGAGTACCTTTAGAAATCAGGCAAGTACAAAGAGGCCATTGTTAGGGGACTTTGAAGGGAAGAAGGTTAGCAGAACATGGTGGTATGAATAGGAGAAGGGATACTGTGGGGAAAGGTTTAGGTTGGGAGAGGTTTGGGAGTGTGGAAAAGAAGATGGGATAGAGCAGGGATAACTAACACTAAGGATATTTGAAAAAGCCATATGAAAGCTTGGTAGTTGAGAAGCTTACACATATGAATGAAGCCTCTCTATATATGGAATTTATGACTATCATATACAAATTAATTGGCAGGATCAGGATACCTCCCTTTGAGTTGTTTGTCAAAGAAGTCTTGTAGATTCCCAAAATAAAACAGACTGTCCTCATTGCTCTTAATTACCTATAAGAACTAGATGGTAAGACCCTTTAGCTACAGACACCACACACTTGAATCACAGGGCATGAGCAATGAAGCTAATAATGATCTGACAAATTCCTCCACAGTGGACACTGTTACCATAATAGCAGAAGCTGCTATAGAAATTGTCTAGTACAAAACACATCATCAATGGTTTGTCTAGCCACAAACCCTGAGAGCTACAATGAGTGACTGACCTGGTAGGATATTTCATTGGTGCCAGTGTGATGTAAATGTTATGGGAGTAGCAATATTTTCTGATTGAACTCATGCATGGTATTGTAAACCTGGCAAAATACCTGTGGCAGGAGTCATCATGAACACTAGGGGAGAAACTATTACTTTTTTTTTTTGTTTTTGTTTTTCGAGACAGGGTTTCTTTGTGTAGCCCTGGCTGTCCTGGAACTCACTCTGTAGACCAGGCTGGCCTCTAACTCAGAAATCTGCCTGCCTCTGCCTCCCAAGTGCTGGAATTAAAGGCGTGTGCCACCACTGCCCGGCTTTTTGTTTTCTTTTTATAGACTGATTATCACACTGCCTTCTAATTACTTATCTCTCTATCCACAGATTAGTGATATTCTCAACTCCTTTCAGAGAGGCTTCATTTCTTAGCAAATGGGAATCACATAAATTCTCACTCTGGTCAGAGTACAGGAGAAATAACTCTGGAATGCCCTGCCCTACATAAAATGTCCTGGCATCCACCATGGCTCATGGGACATTGTGGAAGATGGTGTGGAGAGACTTTAAGAGCAAGAGTTCAAGGGGAGTGTTATGAAATAGTGTCTTCTGAATTAAAAGGAAACATTGCATATATGCATTCACAGTGGCTGTGGTTGCCTATAAGGTAAATCCAGCCAATATGCTAACATAGATGGCAGAGGGGCTGACGAAGCTGAGGACCTTTGACAATTGAAGGGAACTGAGGTGGGGAGAGTTAGTTTTCTTCAATAATTGGCCACTAGTATTTTGTCTGTGTTGCAATGGATGCTCCTACACACATGCACATAAAAACAAAACTAATTGGACTCAGTAGCCCATGAAAACAAGAAATGAAGTTGGGTGGATATGGGGAGGGTTCTGGGAAGAGTTGAAAGGCTAATAGAGGTTTATATGATCAAAACACACTGTATACATGTTTGAAATTGCCAAACAATGAGAAGTTTAAAGGTACAAAGAAATGAATTTTTTAAGGTATAAAATTTAAAAATTAAAATAGTAAAGTACTAGGGACAGTGAAATGGCACAGCAGGCACACTTCAGAGTTACATATAAATCGAATCAACATAAAAACAAAATATAGTATTTAGGATAGCATTAGCTACAGACAAGACATGCATTCACAATAAAAATAATACATTAAAGGAAGAAATTGCATGAGATACGAGCAAATGAAAAGGTCTCTTATGACTGTGTATGGAGGAATCACTGTTGTGTAAATGACAGTGATCTTCAGATTCAACACAACCACAATCGGAATCCCAATCAGTTCCTCACAGAACTGGGAGGGGAGTGGGAATCTCAAAATTTATACGGAATAAAAAGGACCCCAACTAGCCAAAGAAATACTAAGCATTAAAGAACAATTCTGACTGGATCACAATGCTGGGTCTCATGTTAGAGTAGAAAGCCATAGTAACAATAACCAAAGCAAAAGCAAACCAAACCAAACAAAAACAAAAAACTCAAACCAAAAAAAACTAACAAAACAAAACCAAACCCCACAGAATAGTATAGGCATGTATACAGACATGTGCATTAGTGAAATAGACTAAAAGACCTAGAAGTAAATTCACACAGCTGCTGCCACCTAAATTCCAAAGAGTGTCTTAGACATTTACAGTAGAATAAAGACAGCTCCTTCAACAAACAATGTTTGGAAACTGGCTCTCCCCATATAGAAAAAATCCAGCCACTTTCAATCCCAGCACTTAGATACCAAAGGTGGGTGATCTCTGTTTGTTCCAGGACATCCTGCTACTGGTAGTGTGCTTCAGGACTGCCCAGACTACACAGTGAGATCATGACCATGTGTGTGTTTGCTTGCACTTTTATGTGATTTTTTGATCAGAGAAATACTGGCCTCTTAGAATGTTTTAGGGACAATTTCCTAAAATGAAGCTTTGGAATAAAATAACAATAAGTAACCTTAGTTCTCTAAATGCTTAGTAGAATTCAGGAGGAAAGCCATTTTGTCCTGGCCTTGTTATCCATGGTATAGGAATTTTTGTTTCATGTATACTCCAATAACACAATGTAATCTATTCAGATTTTAAAAAATTCCTCATGAGTCTATCTTGGTAGAATATCCATGTTCAGAAATGGTTCCTGCTTGTGTGTTATCGTATTTCTTGGTATAAAGTTGACCATAAGGCCTAGACCAATCCTTTGAGTTTTCTTTCTGGGGTATAACAGGTAGTGGCTCCTTTTTTTATATCAGTTTCTTTTAGTTTTTTCTATTTATCTCTACATTTGTATAAACGTATATGTCTCTAGTGTGTTCATAGTTTGGATGAACTGTGTCTTTGCTTCACTAGTGTTTTCTATGCTTTTTGCTCTATTTTTTCCTTTTTCCCTCCAAATTAGTTAAGGAAAGAAATACTGAATTCTTTCCTTAACCAATTTGGAGTTTATTTTGCTTTTTGTATTGAGGGTAGTTTTTCTTTGGGACCTTCCTGATATTTTGAATATTTTGATACTGACAGTTGGATGAGCTATGGCTGGGTCCAAATGCAAAGCTCTTATTTCCAGGGCAGGTGTTTGTAGATTCAATGCCCTGGAGAGTGTCACCCTGTTGTCAAAAGCCACCCTGCCTGTTGTGAAGGAGAAAACTCAAGCACAATAATCAAAAGTTCAAAAGTAAACTGATCCATCACAGTTGCTTCCTGGTGAAGGAGAAGTATTGCCTGAAGGAACAATGGAGTTCCCACAAGGCTATTTTTTTTGGCTCCAGCCCAACAGGATGGTAGGTGGGGAGGGGATCAGCCTTCAGTGACACAGAAGGAGGGTCTAAACCAGGCTTTGTGACCTGCCACTTTCCTGAGGGCAGGACCATAAGCCTCACTGTGGATAAATATCTCTGGTCCCCATGGGCTCTGGTAGTCCACTTGCTCACCATTTGCTAAGTCTAAAAGCAGACTGAGCACCATGAGGCTGAGCCTGTGTCTTCTCCTGGTTGTTCTGGCTGTTAGTTGTTATGAAGGTGAGTATTATTTTTGGTTAATCCAGCAACATCTCCTGGAAAATTTGCCTCTTTGAACAGTTGGTAAGCTTATGTGTGATAAGGTTGAGGTAAGAAAAAGATCAATAAACTAAAATTTCTCCCAACCTCTTCTATTAACTTTCTAAAAAAATCAAACACCTCCAGAAACATTCAGCTAATTTTCACCTATTTAGGGAACTTGACTGGGTGGGCATGGAAACAACCAAAAAAAAACCCATTATGAACATCTGTCAGGAAATATTTTTATTAAAGGTTTTCTGTTTGCTGTGTTATTTTTCACTTTATTGTATCTGGGAAGGTGACTTGAGAGAGCTTTCTGCTCCTAATTGTCAATGTTCTTTGAATCTGTGAGTAATAGATTTCAACTGTTCTCTGAGACTAAGCATACCTGTGTCATCTTATCAGTTTCCTGGAGGTCCTACCAATAACAGTGCTATAAAAGGTGTGGTAATTACCAGTAAGATGCCTGCTTTTCTTAAATTAATGAATTTTCACAAACAATCCATTTGCTCATAAACAGAACATTCCTACATACTCTGTGCCTTCAAAATGAACCAAGTTTCACAGGCAGTTACTCTCTTTCCTTTCTGCATCTCCTCCTGTAGGCCTAGCTACCTTTCATATTATAGCTAACAACATTTCCCTATAGTCTGATGGATTCTTCCTAAAGCTCACATCAGACCCTGTTTGGGAATCTCTTAAGTATAGTATTGACATGTCTTTGGGAAAACTGGGTCTGCTGGCACTTTTCTGTGATTCAAGCTAGGTGATGTTAAACATGAGGAACTTGGGTCTAAGGTCAGCCGAGGCCATCTATGGCAAGTTGGTTTTTGTTGTTGGTATTTGTTTTTAAGAGCCTTGAGAGAAATGTGAAATTAAGATTGGGAAATTTGATTTCTTCAGTTAAACATTTATCATAAATCTTTATAATCCAAAAGGTAGGTGTCAGTTTGCACTGTCAGCCTCCCCAGAAGTGAACCTGAGCATCATTGTGTAAAAGCAAAGCTTTTCCTAGATGCCCAGCTATGCTCTGGTGTTCAGCAAAACTGTTGAACTGTGTTACTTTAGCTTTTTACCTTGAACTGTACCTGATGCCATGACATGATTCTGTCATTCTTCAAAATGTCACCTACACATAAGCAATCTTCTTACTTTTTACATTTTTCTTGTAAAATTGTAATTCTAATATGCATGTAAATTTGGATAATACAAAAATTCCTTTCTAAATTATCCAAAACTCATAAAATATGCTCCAGCATATGCAGTCTAACCTCAAACTTTAAAAACAGTGCATATTTATTTACTTACTATCCTGATTCAGGGCTGCCCCTCTCCACCCCCTTCCTTCCTCTCCTCTCAGTCCACCCTTACAAGTCCTTACATCCATTACTCCCCATGTTCCTCACCTTCTCCACGGAGAAGGGGAATCCTCCCCTTGTGTATCACCTGACCTTAGGACATCCTGTCATAGCACACCTAAGCACATCCTCTCCCACTGAGGCTCAATCAGGCAGTCCAGTAAGGGAAAAGGGATCAAATGGAAGGCATCAGAGTCAGACACAGCCTGTATTCCAATTGATAAAGAACTTACATGAATGCCAAGTTGCAAATCTGCTACAAATGTGTAGGAGGCCTAGGTCCAGACTTTGAATGCTCTTTGTTTGGTGGGTCAGTGTCTGTGAGCCCCTGTGGGCACAGGTTACTTGACTCTGTAGGGTTTCTTCTGGTATCCTTGAAATCTCCATCTCACTGAATTCTATGCCCAACTCATTCAGAAGACTCCCCAACCACTGGCTGATGTTTGGCTGTGGGTTTCAGCATCAGTTTTCATCTGCCTCTCTGAAGACAGTTATATTAGGCTCCTGTCTGCAAGCATAGCAGAGTATCATTAATAGTGTCAGGAATTGCCTCTTTTACATGACATGTCTCTCAGGTTGGGCAAGTCATTGGTTGGCCATTTCCTTAATGTATGCTATCTCTTTGTTCCTGAGCATCTTATAGGGATGACACATGTTTGGTTGAAGGTTTTCTGTGTAGTTGTAGATGTGGCCTAAATTACAGAAACAGAAATCCCATGATAATTTTTTTTCAGTCCCTTGGTTTGTAATGTTCAGGAATTTACAATCTTGCATCAGCAGTCACAGTAGCTGGCCACAGTGTCTAGCATTTCTGTTAAATCTGCAGTTCCAAATCTGCAGGTTCATAGAAATACTTAACATGAAAGGTAGCTGGGTGGAAATAGCATACTCTTTTAATCCCAGCACTTGGGAGGCAGAAGCAGGCAGATCTCTGTGAGTTCTAGGCCAGCCTGGTCTACAGAGTGAGTTCAAGAACAGACAGGGAATCCCATCTGGGCAACAAAAGAAAACAAATAATTTCTATTAAATAAATGTTTTTTCTTTCTTCTTACACTTTCTAGCTAATGCTGGCAAGGTCTGTAAAGCTGTTGTGTTTGAAAGCCTGACCTTCATACTAAGGAGTAGGGACGCCCTGGAGAAACTATATAGGACATATCCTGTGTCGGAAGAGGTTATTCAAGCAAAACTGAAGGTGAAGGACTGTGTAGACAAAATGAAATATGGAGACAGACTTACAGTAGCAGCAGTATTGGTATGTTTATTTTGCTTTACACTTTCAAAAGGTCACAAATGACGTTGACATGAGGTTCTGCGGGGAACACATGGATGGAGCAAAACAGCACATCGATGATAAGTTGGTTCAGGAATACACTGTTGATCAGAGATCATAGTAAACAGTGCCTGAGATAGGTACCTCCTTCTAGAGTTCTACTCGAGAGGTGACACTATGTGGTATCCTAACAAGGAAAAATAGGGCCCTACAAAAGGAGGATTCAACTCTACCTCTAGACTTTCTGGGGTCTTTGTTGAAGTTATTGTTTGTATAATAAATGGATATTATCTTATTGAATACTACGGTGAATATTGATAAATGAAAATACCACAGATGAGAGGAAGGAAGCTGGAGATAACCCCCTTAAAAGAAAGTATTGCCAGAATTCATTTCTCTACCAAATTTGCTGGCTCTGCCAGGAGACTCTGAACCTCCTGTTTCCAATACTTCTTATCCACTTCTGCCCTGGGTCTCTTCTGGTTTTCTCATTAAAAGGAAAACAGAGGCCACAATTCTAAATCATCAGAAGTTAAGCCAGGCGAAGCTTTGACCCAGTGTGTTCCCTTCTGATCACAGAGAGTTCTAGAGAATTACTGAGTTGAGACACATTATTGAATACACTCAGAGTATATTCACTTGAATTTGGAAAGAATTTCCACTAATTTGCATTATTTGATGTCATTTCCCTGAGCATACTTTGCATTTCCCCTCCTGTCTTTCCACACTGCCTTCCATGGACTCTTGGTTTGTTAACAATTCTGCAGAGCTATCTTGACCCTCTTTTCTTCATCTTTTTTCTTTGCTTTCTGTTTATTTTCAGGCACAAATTTTAATTGAATGTGGTGTGAAAGGATGGGTGGAAGAACATTTTCCTGGTATCCCATTGGGAAACTAGATGAACTGATTTTCCCTTCTTAATGTGAAGGTTTCAACGTCTTGTACTAATAAATTGCACTCCTGGCATATAACCGTCTGTCTCTTGTTATCGTAAGTCTTGGGTCTTGCATGGATTGTGTTTTGATAATAAAAATTTCACTTTCATTGATGGTAAAAGGTTACAGAGATAATCTTTTTCAACTTGACAATTAAGCCTGAGGTTCAGGCATCAGGAACAAGGTGTTTGGTCAAGCACCATCCTTCACTGCCCTGCAAATAACTTTCTCATTTCTGTGGCCATAAATGCAAGTGATCAAAGATGATAACAAACGTTGGCATCTTCTGTGGTCACTGTACTAAACTGCCTCAATGCTACCCCTGTACAACGTGCCATTCATTGCCTAAGTACTTCAGTTCAGTATCTTCCCATTTCTACCTATGGTACTACGTATGATAAGCCACATAGTTGGAAAGAAACTCCTTGATTGCCATAAGCTTCACTGAAGTAGATTCACCGTGCTCTCCATTCCTTACATGAAATATAGCACAACTTCTCAGTGATTCAAACACACAAGCTGGTGTTATAATCAAAACTACATATTCATTTATAATGAATCGATCTTCCTAATTCTGCTGATTGATTGAAAGAACAACATTATTATTAATCACACACGAAACACACAAGCAGATAATCAGAACACACACCTTCCTGACACTCTTTTATTCTTTTGTTTTCATTCTTTTTAAAATTTATTTATTTATTCACTTTACAAATTTATAAATTTATAGATTTAATATTCACTTTATACATATATACATATTTATGTGTTTATTTATGTATTCATGTATTTATTTATTTATTTTCTCTACAACCATAATGCTGTTTAAAAAGCCTGGCCTATATGAGAAACTTCCCTTCAAGGTGTTTGTCAGGGTTGTGGAGTGGGTAGTCCAAATGACTTCCAAGGTAATGTAGGCTTCTGTTGTGCTTGGTTTACTCTTAGAGACAGACTGAAGCTAAGTCCCTATTGGTGAAGACACTGTACTCTTAGGGCACAGGATTCAGATGATACAAGCTTTAACTGAACTTGAAAGCCTACTCTTGCAGTCTATTACCCTGAGCTGAACCAGGGGGCCTGAATTGGACAAACATAGGCCATATGCACTATGTAACAGTTGTGTAGCTTGTTCTTTGTTTGAGATTCTGAACATGGGAGCATGGGCTGTCTTTGACTTTGTTGCCTGCCTTTGCAACCCTTTCCATCTACTAGAATGCCTCATTTTGTCTAAATAAGAGAGGATGTGCTTACTTCAGCTTGTTATGTCATAGTTGGTTGATCTTCATAAGAAGTCTCTCCTTTCCTGAAGAGAAATGGAGGAGAAGTGGATAATATGTGGAGACGGGCAGTCTGGAGTTGGAATTGAAAGGAGTAAGAGAGGGACTACAGTCATGATGTAACATATACATACATGCATACATACACACATACATACATATGCATGTATATCTTTTACTTATTATTTATTCTTTGTGAGATGAACATCATGTAGCTCAGTTCCATTTATCTTACCTTCCTCTTGTATCCACTCTCTACACTTGCAACCTCCCTCACTAAATAAAAATAAAACGTGGAAACACACAAAGAAATATACACATAACAAAACAAAGCATAGAAAACATGTCATTGTGGAAGCTGTAGTGTGTCCCTGCGAGTCTCACAATATACCTCTCTGTCTACACATCTTTCTCTGTAAGTGTTCACTGCAACACTTACATTGCAAGTGTTCATTGTGACCAATGAGTCACTGGTCTGCCTTCAGGACTCTGGCTTCTGAGGTTCAATATTGAAACCTGACTGGGACTCCTCCTGGTTTTCTGGTTGTTACCCTGTGCTGTGGACAACCTGCAGCTTTGGATTAACAGGATCAGCTCTTTCAAGTACCACAGTAGATCACAGATCATACAGATTTTGGAGTGAGCCAACTCAAAGATCTGGATCTGGGCCTAGCTGAGCTGGTCAGCCTGCTGGATCTCCCTTACTTCCAGAACCAAGGTAAGCTCTCCAGCACTGCGCCAGCTAGGCCACCCAATGCCACAATTGAGAGGAAGCAAGGTTGGCTCACCTGCACACACACCTGCAGAGCCAGCTCCACTGTGCTGCCCAGTGGAGGAGCTGGGCCCACTCTCCCAAGAGTTGCAGCTTGGTAAGAGCTGAGCCAGCTCTCCCACTCTCATACCCATAGGGCTGGCTCACCAGTGCCTTCACCATCAGGGCCAAGTTGACTGTACTCCCTAGGTGAGGTGTGAAACTTAATTTCCTGCCATTGAGGCTCAGGGTAGCTCTCCTGCTTTTATGACTTCTGGGCTAACTCTCCAGACTACTGAAGGAGGCAAGGAAAAAGTGGGGGAGGGTGTTACCCCCATTCCCACTTCACTTAATGGTAGACTTTCAAAGGAGATAAAAAAGAATTAAGTGTATTTCCACAGTCCTTTCAAAGCATGCTACTCTGATGACATATGATGTGTCATTCAGCTTCACATCTTGAAGTTTCTAACATCTCCTAAACAATCATTTGTGCACCAAATCTTTGGCCCATGTACCTTTCAGGGAGATTTATGTAAAAAACACCTATCTTTATTTTTGTTCTTATTTTTAAGCTTCTTTCCAAATTCAGAATTTCATCCTTTTAGAATTTCTATCATTTCATTTTAATTCAATACTTAATGCTCTTCTCTACCTCTGTACTATTTTCCTTTTGCTTTCAAAACTTCAGTTTTTGCTTTTCCCCTTCTTTCCAATCATGAATTTCTTCACTGTGTGACTATCTTCTTGGATCACGTGTTTATGACATATAACTCAATGATAGATGCTTTAACTAGAGTAATTGTCATTCCTATAAAAGGCCAATATAGTTTAATTTTTAATATTATCTTTCTTATTTATTTATTTATTTTGGGGACATCTAAACTCTAACTTTATTTTTATATCCTTTTTCCTTTTTTATTTATTTTTTATTTTTCTACAGTTCAGATTGTATCCCCCTCCTGGTCCACCCTCCAACTGTTCAACATCCCACACCTATCCTCCCATCCTCATCTCCAAGAGAATGTCCTCATCTCCCCACCCCATTAGACCTCCACACTCCCTGGAGCTCCAAGTCTCTCGAAGTTTAGGTGCATATTTTCTGTGTTCAGACCCGGCAGTCCTCTGCTGTATATGTGTTGGAGGCCCCATATCAGCTGGTGAATGTTGCCTAGTTGTTGGCTCAGTGTGTGAGAGATCCCAGGGGTCCAGGTTAGTTGAGACTTCTTGTCTTCTTATAGGGTCCCCCTCCTTCTTCCAGCTTTTCCCTAATTCAATCACAGGGCTCAGCAGCTTCTTTCCATTGATTAGGAGTAAATATCTGCATTTGACACTTTCTCAGCTTATTGGGCCTTTCAGAGAGCAGTCATGGTAGGCCCCTGTTTGTAAGCACACCATAGCATTAGTGATAGTGTTAGGCCTTAGGCCACCCCTTGAGCTGGATCTCAGTTTGGGCCTGTCACTGAACCTTCTTTTCCTCAGGCTCTTCTCCATTTTCTCCATTTTTGTTCCTGCAGTTCTTTCAGACAGGAACAATTGTGGGTTAGATTTTTTTTTGACAGTTGGATGGCAACCTTATCCCTCCACTTGATTCTCTCTCTGTCTTTCTACTGGAGGTGGACTCTTCAAGTTCCCTCTTCTCACTGTAGGGCATTTCATCTAAGGCCCCTATCTTTGAGTCCTGAGAGTCTCTCACCACCCAGGTCTCTGGTACATTTTTGAGGGTCTCCCACCTTCTACCTCCCAAGGTTACCTGTTTTGATTCTTTCTGCTGGTCCTCAGGACTTCAGTTCTATCCATCTACCCCCAATACCTTACATCCCAAATGTTACCACTCTTTTGGTCTCCCATCTTAGAATGTTTCATTCATCCTCTACCCTTTCCCCTTTGCCTCTGAGAGGGTTCTCCCCTCTACCACACCCTCCTTCTCTGAGGCATCAAGTCTTTACAGAATTAGATATATCATTTCTCACTAAGGCCAGACAAGCAGGCCTCTGCTACATGTTTCTGGGGCCACATACCAGCCTGTGTATGCTCTTCAGCTGGTGGTTTAGTCTCTGGGAGTACCAAGGGGTCCAGGTTAGTTGGCACTGTTGGTTTCTTTTGTGGGGTTGCCATCTGCTTTAGCTCCTTCAATCTTCTTCCTAACTCTTCCATAGGGTTCCCCAACCTCAGTCCAATGATTGGTTGTAAATATCTGCATCTGTCTCAGTCAGCTGCTGGTAGAGACTCTCATACATCAGCCATGCTAGGCACCTGTTTTCAGGCACAACATAGCATCTTGTAAAAGTGTCAGAGTTTGATGCTGGCCCATGGAATGGATCCCAAGTTGGACTAGCCACTAGTAAGCTTTTCCTTCAGTCTTTGCTCCATTGTTGTCCCTGCTTTTCTTTTAGACAGGAGTAATTCTGGGTCAAAAATTTTGAAGGTTGGTTGGTGTCCCCATTCTTCTACTGGGGGCCATGTCTAACTACTGAAGGTGAACCCTATAGGTTCTATCTATTCGCTGTTGGGCATTTCGGCTAAAGTTACTCCTATTGAGTCCCAGGCACCTCTCACGTTCCAGGACTTGGGGAGTTTTGAGAAGTTCTACCCACACCACAACCCCTACCCAGAGCTGCCACCTATTTCTATACATTCTTCACACCAGTAGCATCAGTAATAGTGTCAGGTCTTGGAGCCTCCCCTTGAGATAGATCTCAATTTGGGCCTGTCACTGGACCTCCTTTCCCTCAATCTCTTCTCCATTTTTGTTCCTGTAGTTCTTTTAGACAGGAACAATTCTGGGTCAGAGTTTGTGACTGTGGGATGGCAACCTCATCCATCCACTTGATGCCCTGTATTTCTACAGTAGATAGACTCTACAAGTTCCCTCTCCACAATGATTGGTATTTCATCTAATATCTTTTGAGTCCTGAGAGTCTCCCACCCCCAA